AGTTTTGCCCTTGTTTTCCTTTCCGCCTTCAAACAACTACACTCTCCTATCCCCTCAGAGAAAAAGAAAAAAAAAATCTACAATACTAGCCTGGTAAGAGAAAGGCTACAAAATAACTAATGGGTCAAGCTTGTTTGAATTAGTGTCTTATCAAGAAGTATATTTTCATTTTTAAAGCAACCCCCTACTCAGTCAATGCCAACTGGTACTTTTCCTTTTCTTGTGAAAGGCAGATTCTCCTACTGCATTTCCTTGTCTGACTAAAGATGCACTGGTGTGCACAGCACACCACTGGAAATAAGGAAGACATATCAAGAAGAAGGTCCATCAAGGTGCACACACTGACCAGTTCTTTTTTTTTCCTCTCTCTCTCCTTTATTTTAACCCATAACAAGTGAAATTTAAATTTATCTCATCTAGGAAGCACACAACACTATCAAATTAAAGTCTTTTGAAAGCATGGATGCTGTTTGAAGACAGCTAAAATCTGCAAGGAGGACTGGTTCAGAGAGAATCTCCGAGAGAATCTTGATTTTCTATTCTAACTGAAGGTATGAGGAGTGGGAATGAGGATGAAAGAAGAGATGAAGTACAAAAGAAAACTCTTCCCATGAAAAACATTGTTCTAGGATATAAAGACACTGTGAAGAAATGGAAAATTGGGCTGGGGATGTGGCTTAAGCAGTAGCACGCTGGCCTGGCATGCACAGGGTGCTGGGTTCGATCCTCAACACCACATAAAAATAAAATAAAGATATTGTGTCCACCTAAAACTAAAAATAAATATTAAAAAAAGAAATGGGAAATAGAAGTCATATCCCTACCTGATGATAATCTGACAATAATAATACATGTACAAATAAAATTATAGAGATAAAATATGTAAACCACAGATTATAACTTTCCAGGAACATGAGCTGGAAGTCCACCCACCTTTCTTTGGGAATTAACAGGCACATATTGGGTTAGGAAATTTAACTAGCGTCTTTCGCCCCCAAGATAACTAGAGTGGAATATCAATGTGGACTTAATTTTAAATCTCTGAAAATCAAATGGTTAATTTTAATCAGAGTTATGCTTCCATCCACTATTAACTAGAGTTGAACTTTAAGAACCTATACTTTTTTTTTTTTTAATCTGCCTCCTTGCACCAACTCTTTGTCCTCTCCTGGGATGGAGGTAGTGGGTACAGAGCTTTGCGTCATTTTGCACCTCTCCGGAGATTTTACATCTGAGGCTACCTTTTGTGGAGGGAAGTCTAAGGAAGGGTTTCCTTTGTGGGAGGAGAAGGGACAAAAAAAAAAAAAAAGATATATTTCCCTTTGTTGGAAAGAAAAGGAAAGGAAACGTGGAATTATACAGAACAGAGTTCAACTCCAAACTCCAGTTTTCTTGGGTATAAAGTTCAAGAAATACCTATTTCACAGCGTTAGTTGTGAAAGTGAAATCTGATGTCGTGAAAAGAGCCTGTTTCTGGCACACAGGAGATCCTCAAAAATGAGTGTCTTTTCTCCCCCAAAAAGGGGTAGTAGGAAAGAAGAGAACCGCAGGAGTACAAATCCAACCCAGCAGACCAGGTTGCTCTTGGGCATTTACCTCCCAGGAGGGTAATTCTGCCTCCGCCCCGCTCCAGTCCTGAGTTCCCAAATCCCGGTACCTGCGGAGAGGGGCCACCCCCACTCACCTCGGGAGCCACCAGCGGTAAGCAGGTTCATCCCGCGGACCCCAGATGCCGCCTCTTATAGAAGATGAGGGCGACGGAGCGAGCCAATGGGCGCCAGAGGCGTCCGTCAGAGGCCAATGAGAAGGGAGAACCGACGGGCAAGGCAGGAGGTTCTCCTGGCCCGCGGGCAGCCTCCGCCTGGAGCTGACCTCCTCTGGGTGCTGACCATGCTCGCCAGCTAGCGCCCTGAGATTTACACGCCTTAGTCTCTAAGTGTATTTGATTGGCTTTTTAATTAAACTAATGTTAGGCTACCCGTAACCTCAGAAGTCTGACTAATATTAAACAATGCGGAGTCAGAACTTCCTTTCAAACCCAGATAACCTCGATTACTCACAGAATGACCTCCTGGGCTTGTATTGCTTTTCCTGAAGACCAAAGCAGAATCCCCCCACTGCCCGCACATTTTGGTGCTTCTGGGTTCTTTGATAGCCTAGTATTGCCTCGTCCTTCTCTTGGTGCCTTTCCTTATTTAAACTAAGCAAATCTTTGAACTTTTTAGAAAGGAAGTGCTGAAAAAAAAATGTAATAAAATTTCTAAAGCTTCGAGCAGATGAGTATGGTAAATCAACAGAAAGTTATGTTACACGCTATATAAACAACATGACACAGAAGCCAAATTCGGAATAAGTTATTTATTGGTTGAGTGCTCAGTAATTAGGTTTTTTTTCCCAAAGGACTATACAATTTCTACTGTATGCTGGTTCCAGGCCCTATGGATATCAAAATCCAGGGATGTTCAAGTCCCTTGTATGTTATTAGCATATAACCTATGAACATCCTCCCATATGCTTTAAATCATCTCTAGATTAATTACAATAACTAATCCAATTTAAATGCTTTGTAAATAGTTGCTATACTGATTTGCTTTAGGAAATTATGAAGAGGAAAGGAAAGTCTGTACATGTTCAGTACAGAGTCATTTTTTTTCCAAAATATTTTTAAACCAAGGATGGTTGAATAAGAGGATACATATGCTGCTGATATGGAAGACCAACTGTATATATAATACATATACAGTATATGTAATACATATACAGGGCATATACTGTAGGACATTCTTTTCTCCAATTTTGAAAATTCAGATTTACTGATGAGTAGTTTACACACAGTAATATCCACTTTTTCAAAGCATACAATTCTGAGTTTTGACAAATATACAGTGTGTAACCTCCAATCAAAATATAGAACATTTCCATCACCTCAAAAACAAAAAAGTTCCGGGCCAGGGGTTGTGGCTCAGTGGTATAGCGCTTGCCTAGCATATGTGAGGCACTGGGTTCAATCCCTGGCACCACATAAGAATAAAAATAAATTAAATAAAGATGTTGTGTCCATCTATAACTGAAAAAAAAAATTTTTTTTAAGTTCCCTTGTCCAAACCAGCACCACCACCACACTCAGTCCCTGGCAACCACTGATCTGATTTTGGTCCGTATGGTTTTGCCTTTTCTGGAATAAGAAAAAAATGGACTTCACAGTACCATAGGTTTTTGGTTCTTGACACTTAATGCTTTTGAGCTTCATGATGCATAAGGTTATCAATTGATGACTAAATACAGGTGTATTTTAAAGTGCAAGGCATTTACACCTTTCACATTTTTCTCAGTTTTTTTTAAATCTATGGAATAATTCTATGAAGTAAGTACTTTTCTAATTTTGCAGATAAGGAAAAGTAGCTGGCACAGGTAAGGAGAATCAAGAACCAAGCAAAAATAATTTGACTTTAAATCTAGTGTTCTTACTGCAAGGCTATGAAAAACATTGGTCAGAGAGAGATCTTTTCAAATCAAGCTAAGGTCAAAGACAGCTTTCTTAAAGTTGAGTCTATAGTAGGACTTGAGCCACACACATTAAAGAAGAGAGATGGGGCCAATTCATTTAATGATCCCATCCTCAAGAAGGTGAGAATATTGTGCACACTGGCCCTGAGGTGGAAAGATCTGGATAGTTGATATCTCTGAAGTTCACCTTGAAGGAATGAGAAAAGTAAGAACCTTTTCTGAACCTCTCTGAACATGCATAGCCCCACAGTGCTGGGGAACTCCAAGCATCTGGGTTTTCCCACTTTTCTGAGAGACATCTAAGATGACTCTGACCCCAAACATCTCTCATCACTGTGCCTAAAATTATGACAATTAAGAATTTTCACTGGGCTCAATGGTACAACATACTCTGAGAAGGCTCGGGGAAAGGACCATCAGTTGTTAAAAATCTTTGTATAGATTTGCTTAATTAGAATGATTTAATTGGCTCCTAATTTCAAACTGATGTCAGAGTAAAAAGTATTTCCACGGGAATTCTAGAAAAGGTAAATAAAAGACACTTGAGGAAGAGAGAGTATGTAGTCCTTAGGGAATTATCAGTTTCCAGTTTCCAATTGCTGTTGTAATAAATTATCACAAATTTAGTGACATATTTATTATACTATAGTTCTAGAGGTTAGAAGTCTGACATGGGTTTACTCCTTTCTCAACCTTTAGATTTTTCAGTTAGTGTCAATTCCTTCCCTCAACCAAGACTACCCTCCAATCTAAATTAGGTTCCCTATCTCCCCCTTTTTCACACTTTGCCCTTTTACTATATAAGGAGCACTGGTAACAGTGGTTATTATACAATTGTTTGTGTGGCTATTTGTTCATGCCAACAGAGAAGGAATCCATATTCATACCCACCCCCCATCTGTTAAATCTTCATTGGCTAGCCTGGTTTTCCTGGCACACAGGCACATAGTACTTTCTCATTAAATATTTGTTGAAAGCCAGGTGCACTATTGGGGTACCTGTAGTTCCCGCTACTCAGAAGGCCTGAGGCAGGAAGATTGCTTGAGTCCAGGAGTTCAAGAAGAGCCTGGGCAACATAGTGAGACCTCATCAAAACAAAAAAAGAAATGTGTTGAATTAATGACAAATGGATGATAAAACCTGTGTTCAAACATGTGGGTACTTATGTATTCATCATAGAATTTCTGTAGAACTGATACCTAGATGTGGAATACTGTAAGATTGCCTTCCAAAAAGGTTATACCAACTTATTTGAGAGACTATAAAACAACATCCTCATCCTTGTCAATCATGGATGTTATTAATCTCCTTAACTTTTGGTAATTTGACTAGCAAAAATAAGTGTTTATTAGTAGAGCTGAGAATTTTTTAGACATTTGTTCACCTGTGAATTCCTTATTTGATTTTTTTTTAAAAAAAATATTTTTAGTTGTAGAGACTGCTGAGTCCCTGTCTGTCTGCTGCCACCCACTCTGGACACAGAACATCCAGTCATGAATAAAAATGAGCTGGTGCAGAAAGCCAAACTGGCCGAGCAGGTTGAGCGATGTGATGACATGGCAGCCTGCATGAAGTCCGTAACTGAACAAGGAGCTGAATTGTCTAACAAGGAGAGGAATCTTCTTTCAGTTGCTTATAAAAATGTTGTAGGAGCCCATAGGTCATCTTGGAGGGTCGTCTCAAGTTTTGAGCAAAAGACGGAAGGTGCTGAGAAAAAGCAACCGATGGCTCGAGAATACATGGAGAAAATTGAGACTGAGCTAAGAGAGATCTGCAATGATGTACTGTCTCTTTTGGAAAAATTCTTGATCCCCACTGCTTCACAAGCAGAGAGCAAAGTCTTCTATTTGAAAATGAAAGGAGACTATTACCGTTACTTGGCTGAGGTTGCTGCTTGTGATGATAAGAAAGGGATTGTGGATCAGTCACAACAAGCATACCAAGAAGCTTCTGAAATCAGTAAAAAGGAAATGCAGCCAACACATCCTATCAGATTGGGTCTAGCCCTGAACTTCTCTGTGTTCTATTGTGAGATTCTGAACTCCCCAGACAAAGCCTTCTCTCCTGCAAAGACAGCTTTTGATGAAGCCATTGCTGAACTTGATACATTAAGTGAAGAATCATACAAAGACAGCAACCTAATAATGCAATTTCTGAGAGACAACTTGACATTGTGGACATCAGATACCCAAGAAGACGAAGCTAAAGCAGGAGAAGGAGGGGAAAATTAACTGTCCTCCCAACTTTTGTCTGCCTCATTCTAAAATTTACACATGAGGCTGGAGATGTGGCTCAAGCGGTAGCGCACTCGCCTGGCATGCGTGCGGCCCAGGTTCGATCCTCAGCACCACAAACAAACAAAGATGTTGTGTCCGCCGAAAACTAAAAGATAGATATTAAAAAAATAATAAAATTTACACAGTTGGCCATTTGTCATTCATGCTGTCCTACAAATAGTTTTTTGTTATGATTTATGACAGGTTTTATGTTACTTCTATTTGAATTTCTATATTTCCCATGTGGTTTTTATGTTTAATATTAGGGGAGAAGAGCCAGTTAACATTCAGGGAGTTATCGGTTTTCATCTTGAGGTGGCCAATATGGAGATGTGGAACTTTTTATATGACTTATAAATGTTTGACATAGTATTTTAGGTACATTGTGGCTTCACTAGGGCTAGTGTTAAAACTGCTTCCATGTCTAAGCAAAGAAAACTGTCTACACATTGGTTTGTCCTGGTGGGGAATAAAAGAGATCATTGGTTCCAGTCACAGATGTAGTTATTGTGGGTACTTTAATGCTTGGAGCACTTATGAGGCTGTAGTAGAAACAGATATCCCATGGATCCTACATGTGTGAATCTTGTGTTTCTGTGGAATAGTCAGTGCGCACAGCTTTGACTACAGCGGCAGAAGTGCTCCTTTAGGCAAAGTTGTGACCCAATTTACTCTGAATAAGGGCAGAAACGGTTCACATTTCATTATTCGTAAAGTACCTGCTGCTTGCTTTCATTAATTTTGCTACACATTTTATTTGTATTTAAATGTTTTAGGCAACCTAAGAACAAATATAAAAGTAAAGATGCAGTAAAAATAAATTGCTTGATAGCCATTACTTCATGTATGTCAAGCACAGCAGTAAACAAAACAAAATCCATGTATTTAACTTTTTTTAGGTTTTTTTTTTTTTGATACTTGCCTAACATGCATGTGCTGTAAAAATAGTTAACAGGGAAATAACCTGAGATGATGGCTAGCTTTGTTTAATGTCTTATGAAATTTTCATGAACAATCAAGCATAATTTTCAAGAACCCGTGTGTTAAGTTCATGTAAGTGGAATAAAAGTTTTATGAATGGAAAAAAAAAACATATATTTTTACTTGTACAGGGAAACAATATCTTCATTTTGTTTATTTAGTTTTTTTTGTATGGTGCTGGGGATAGAACCCAGTGCCTCATGCATGCTAGACAAGTGCTCTACCACTGAGCCACAACCTCAGACCAATGTCTTATTTCTTGATTTTTCTTATTGATATAAGAGCATTGTAGATATTAACTCTGCTAGATGCAATGCTGCCATCGAAAATTTCCATCTGTCTTTAATAACTTCATTTAAGATGTTTTATGCCTTATAACTTTTCTGTTTGTCCTTACAGTCAAATCAGCCTTTCATGCTGAAGCTTAGGGGGACCCCAAATCATACCCATATCTTTCCTCCCAGGTCCAAGCTGGGCAGTTGGCAATTAGCTATGGCAACGACAGTGTGGGGGGCAAGGAGTAGGAGTGCAAGCTGGAAGATCAGTTGAAAGACTTATTGATGGAGTCCTGTTGAGATATGATGGCAGATATGGGGGTAGCAATAAGATGAAGAAAACTGAGGCTCAACTGAGGACATGCCTTGTAGATAGAATTAATAGTATTAGTAATGGCAGGACAAGGAGATGTAAAGGAAGGGTTCAAGAATGATTTTGTCTATTGGGTAAGTTATGGTTCTGTTTACTAAAATGAGGACTGGGAGGAAGGAGAAGAACTTGGCAGGAAGGAGAAAATTGTCTATTTTGGAGTTTCTAGATTTGAGATGTCTCCTAGATATCCAAATGAAGATATCATGTGGCATTAAGAAATGGGAGTCCAAAATCAGAAAGAGATCATAGCCAAAGATATAAATTTAGAAGTCACTGGTATTATGATCATATATAAAGATACTATATAAAGATCACCAGCCTGGATGAAATTTCCCAGGGAGAAAAATAAATTGAGAGACAAGAAAGAAGCCTAGTATTGAACCTTGGGGCATGTCAAGGCTCCAAGGACAAGAATAGAAAGAAGAGAAACAAGAAAAGAGGACATAAAGAAGGGGACCCAAAGAGGGAGAAAACTCAGGTGAATGTATTGTCAAAGAAGCCAACAGAAGACTGTTTTAAGAAGTAAGGCACTGTCGATTGCCTTAAATGCTGCTTCAAAGTTGAGGACAGAAGTACAACTACTAGAAACAGCAACAGGAAAGTCCCTGGGATTCTCAACAAAAACAACTTCAGTAATAGGAAGCACAGAAAATTCCATTTACATGAGAAATGATGTCAACTCTTTCAGTAGTTCCATTGTAAAAGGGAGCAGAAAAAGATAATAGCAGCTGGAGGAGACTGTGGGTTTAAGGGAGGGTTGGTTTTTAAATTTTTGTTGTTTTTTAAAGATCAAATAAACTAGACAGAGAATGATCCAGTAAGACCGAAGAAAAATGAATTAAGAAAGTAGGAGAGTAAATGCAGGAGTTAACTCTTCTGCATTCATTAGTTCTAATAGACCAGTCAAGCAAGGCTCTTGACTTTCATGGTATATAATTATATCATCTGAAATTACACCCTCCAAAAAAAACTAATGGCACTTCCCAAGTAAGTGATTATGATAAAGGTCAGGACAGTAGTATTTTTTTTCGGGGGAGGGGGGAAGCAAAAGTTATAATGGAGAGGGCATCTGGAGGGGCTTCTGGATGACTGGTAAAGTTCTATTTAAGCTGGGTGATGCATATGGTTTTGCTTTTCAATAATTCCATAAAATATATATTTGTTTCACAGTTTTGTTTCAGTTTTACTTTATACAATTAATGAAAAATAAGCAATGAAAAAAAAGATAGTATTTTGGCCTTTTAAAAAAAAATACCCACACTTATACAATTTGTTTTTATCCTTTTGTGTTTGCTGAAGCTATTAGAACAATGTGAAAAATATTGTTGCTTTGTTCCAGGTTTTAATGGGAATATTTCTAATGTTTCAATTAAGAATCATGTCTGCAGTTATGTTAACAGTTTTCTTCTATTAAAGGAGTGTTTTCAGAAACAGATGTTAAATCTTATCAGATGAGTTGTTGGCATTACTGAAATGATCACATGGGTTTTTTAAAAAATATGCAATGTTAAATCATCTTTGAATTCCTGGGATACACTCATCTTGGCCATAATCTTTAATGTATATTTTTTTACATCTTCTAATATGTGCTGAAATTTACTTGCAATTTCACAATTCTATTTGTAATTTGTCCAGAATGTTTGCATCCATATTAATGAGTTTGGAGTACAGTTTTCCTTTTTTGTGTGGACTGTTCTTATCCAGTTTTATTAACAGGGTTTTGTTATCTTTGCAGCATTAAGAAATTTCCCACTATTCTCTGTTGGCTTGAGAGAGATAGCATTAGTTCTTTTGCTGACTTTCAATGTGAATATTAGGTTTTTAAGGTTTTCTACCTCTCCCTGGGTTTAATTTTAGTATTTATTCTCTTCCTAGAAAATTATCCATGTGGTTATATTCTTTTGGTTCTCCTTCTCTCTCTTGGTTTTCATTTTTTAAAAAACATGTGTATAAAGTTAAGTACAATGGTGCACACCTATGGTCTCAGCTACTTGGGAGGCTAAGGCAGGAGGACTGCTTAAGTTCAAGAGTTCAGGCCAGCTTGGGCAACGTAGACTCAGTTCCCCGCCAAAAATGTGTGCGTGTGTGTGTGTGTGTGTGTGTGTGTGTGTGTGTGTGTGTGTATTTTTCTGCTTTATTTCACAGGAGCCAGAGAATGTGCTAGTATGACTTTTCCCTGGGGGAACTTACTAGGATGTTCTTTGTGGCTCATCGCATCATCTAGTTTTATGGATGTCCCATTAAACTCGGAGAGTATGAATTTTCCATTAGTAGATTAGTATGTTCTAATAAGGATAGAGCAAGCAATCCTGCAGTGACCAATTATCCCTTTATTATGATAACACAATAAAGGTTTATTTCTTCCTCGCTCTAGTCCAACATGCATTGAGTGACTCTCCAGGGCAGCTCTTCACCATGTGATTCTCTGTATGGTTACTTAGGGATTCAGGAAACTTCCATCTAAATGGCTCTGCCATTTGAACCCCTGGCTGTCACCAAAAGATAATTCTGAGATGCAATACCAGCCTTTAAATGCTTTCGTATTTAAATCATTGACAATAACTGATCTCATTTCACTGGTTATAACGATTCATATCACCCTTCCTTACTGCAAAAGAGCTCAAAGTACAGTCTTCCCATCAGCTCAGGAAGATAAGAACCAGACATGAAGAGCCCAAAGAGTTATTCCCATAGAATATAAAGATCTATTTATGTGTGCCTTTATAGTATAGGAATGTGGAGCATGAACTGTGGAGCCAAATGCAGTCCTGCCACTTACTTAGCTATGTGACTTCAGGCAATTTAGCTTTTCCAGGACTTGATTTCTCTATCTATAAAATGCCAATCTCCTAGCATTGTTATGAGGACTAAATTAGTGTATTTATAAAGCATTTAGAATAATGAAAAATGTGGAAAATCAACATTGTAAAATATCATCATTCACATTCTCTGTCCTTGTGTTGCTTTAGTGCTTTTCCCCTTGAAGTCTATTCTTTGTTTTATAATCCCTGCTTTCTATTTTGTTATCACTTACCTCATTTTTCTCTATCCATGCCTTTGTTATGTGTTTTTTATCTCTTGAAAAGAATATAAAACTAGATTTTTTTCTTTTAAGAATATTTATCCTTTGGGCTGGGGATATAGCTCAGTTGGTAGAGTTCTTGCCTCATATGCACAAGGCCCTTGGCTCAATCCCCAGCACCAAAAGAAAAAAAGTATTTATCCTTTGGTAAAGGGATTTAATCACATATGATGGATTAAATAGGTTTTACCTGAATCCTTACACAAAGATTATGCAGTTTTGAAAAGTAACACTAATATTCATGATTTGTGCAGTTTTTAAAAGTTACAATCCCAAGATG